TTTTAATTAATTTTATCACAACACTGACTCCTAAGACAATTAGAAATGGGAAATAAATCCCTGAAAATCTGTTTTCAAAGAGACTTCAATAAGGGTATTGTGATAAAATGGCATGAAATTAGTTATAAATGTGTTAATCCTTTTGGTGTTGTGACAAAAAGCAACAATAAGATGGAGTATTAAAATAATAAGCAGAGTTGCATTTTACTCAATTTGTTTATGTCAATACAATTATAGTCATTTTATAACGAAAACTAAAAATGAACCTGTTGAGACTGGAGTCTTGGTCTGAAGGTGCAAATTAAATAAAATTAACTTCAATGAAAAATGTTAAGAGTGTCAGAAATTCAAGAAAACCTAACTTATAACCTTCAAGATTAATTTCATAGGATTCTGAAGAGTTTAAGTCATGTCACCAAATTGTCTGTTAGAAATCCATTGATTGAAACAAAACTGGTACAAATTAGGGTCTTCACAAGTTTTTCTATTTTTCTAGTAGCTTGACAGTGAAAAGTATTGATATTTTTTTCCAACAACTATTTATCCCCTATCACCCATGACACCTTTAGTATGCACTCATGTAGAGCCATGTTATCTTCCTTTAAACCAGAGATCATGAAATTAGTTTCAGATATAAATTACATAAAAGTGATAAGTAGTTCTCTAGTTTTGCATAGCAGCAGTTGACAATGGTGAATCCAAAACTGTTGTACACTGACATGGAAGTGTACTTTAACATGTGAAACAAGAAAATTAATTTATGAATAATGTTTCAAGTCCCCAATCAAATAAAAAGATTTCAGGTTTGTTTAAAAGTATATCAACACCTTATAGATCATATAACACTGAAATTTAACTTAAGAGTATTCTACTTTCACCATTAAATAGATGGTACTCAGTTTTGTGCATATACATGTTTGTGAAGACATAATTAATAGTTATATTTTGGGATTTAATTTGATTTCTTTAAGAAATTGTAGGATATTATCATGTAGCTTGGTTGATTTTGTCTAGTGACAAATCTAAATATTTTGGACAATTCTACAGTTAAAATGTATTGTTGGTCATTTTGCTATAAAAATGTATTACCGGCATCTTTACCATAAAAATGTATTTGTATACATTCATAGTGTTGTTTTTGTTTGGGGGGTTCACTATTTGCTCATAGCTAGGACCCTAACAGGTGCTACCATCCCGGGTCTAAGTGGTCCCAGGAACAGCAACAATTAAGAAGTTGTTCTGCACTCCTCAAAACTGCCAATCTCCTGTTCAGAGGCCTTGCTGCTGGATGCAGTTTATAATCAATCAGAAAACAAAAGGAAAGCCAAGCCAAAAAAAAAAAGAAAAAAAAAAAAGAAAAAAAAAAAAAAAAAAAAAAAAAAAAAAAAAAAAAAAAAAAAAAAAAAAAAAAAGAAAAAAAAAAGAAAAAAAAAAAAAAAAAAAAAAAAAAAAAGGGAGCTTCTGATTGAACTGTTTACATATGATGCATCTCTGGCCAAATTGGTAAAGTTGATATCTAAGTCACATGGGCTTTCAGTCTATGGAATGTGTATTTTCCTTATTTCTGATACAACTGCTTACTTTAGTGTAATAACATGGATGCTGTGATGAAAAAATAATAATAAAATGGGAAGATAAAAAATAAAGCTATTAATGGTAGAATCAAATGTACAATTAAAAGAAACTACAACTGGATGATTCTAAGTTAAACAAAAGTCAAACAATCCTCATAATTGTTTTGACCATTTAAAAACTATCAGGGAAATGTTTTTCTCTTATTTGAGTTATTAGAAGCCGAATATAGGTCAGAAATTAGAGAAGTAACTGTCAGTGAAGGAAATATTCTCTCCCACTCAGTGCTGGAGGGCCTTAATATCTACAAATAGTCAGATATACATTCTTTCTCTGGCAAACATATATATTTTTCAGCATCAGGCTTGCCAATCTCCTAAATCGACCAAAAAAAAAAAAAAAAAAAAAAAAAAAGGAGAAAAGTGGTTACATTTCCTACCAAACCTAAGTGCATCAATTGAGAGAAAGATAGCAGTGGAGGGGGAATTAAAGCTCAGAGATGGCTGGAGGTGGTGGTGGTGGATAAAGCTAATCTGAATGACTCCTTGAAAGCAAGCTTGACCTTGGGCTAAAATTGTACCATCTGACCACACAAAATGAGAAATATGGAGACTTGACAATTGACCGTTTCAAGAGGAAAGTGGCCAGAACAGAAATAACAAATGACCACCATGTTTATGGCAAGGTTATATATAATATACTAATACATATTTCCCTTTATTATTTTCCAGGATCAAATCCCTGAAGCAAGATTGGATCATTTTGTAACAAATGATCTTTCCTATTCTACTTTTAAGACAGACTTGACAAAAAGCAAAAGCCTCTAAACAGCAAATAAATTTTATTTTAAATATTATTTCCTCCATAAGAAAAAGTAAATGCATTCATGAGAATTCAAATTAGAACAAAAAAAAAAAAAAAACTCCTACTTTAGACAATTTAAATATCAAAATTTGAAAAGATATTTGTAAAATATTTCCAAGGTCAATAATCATGACTACATCCACACAATATATTTTTTTTTTTAATAAATTCATCAGCTTAATTCATCCATAAATGCAAATATATACACTGTATTTCTGCTTTATGTTTTTGTTTCAGTAAAAGAATGTTCTTTATAAAAGAAAATTTCCTTTTTTCTTTTCCTATAGGAAGAGATAAAAGGAAATGTTGTGTACAACTGCAATGCTTACTGTTTTGTTTTCAAATGTTCATTGAAACTATAAGGAAAATTATTTACAAACACACATCATGCAAACAGTTATACTAGACTGTGTGTGTATACACACAAATAACAAGCTCTTGACACTCCTTTAGTCAGGTTCAGCAAGTCCCTACCACATCCTCTCCAACCAACAATTACTGACAATATTTACACGTAAGCTCATATCTACTTCTAGACATGCAAGTTTTTTTTTTTTCTCTCTCTCTCTCTCTCTCTATTGTGATTCATAAACACTGCCTTTAAGGATGAGACAAATTTGTTTGAATCCATTATGTGAAAATTACATACAAACCTTCAACATCAGTTTGGATTTTACTTTTTGGAATTCCAAGCTTTTCTTTTTCAACAGAATGAAATGCCGTCTCAAATTAAGTTCTTCCATTATTAAAATTAATTTTTACCATCAACAAAACTTGTCTGATATAAACAGGCATATATATATATATATATATATATATATATAAATAAGTCCAAACAATTTTTAAATAATTATTTTGAACAGAGAATTCTTTAATTCTTTTGTAGAGAGAAAAAAAGAGTTACACTTTGGAGTAATGAATCTCTTGAACTAAAGTTATTTAACATTAATAAAAATATTAAGCACTCATTTAAATTAAAAAGCAAAGGAATGTATTTCATCTTTTCTAACATGCACTGTTTTGTGTACATAGGAGTTTGGGTAGAATTTATCTTGGAAAAGGTTTCTTCTTTTTGCAGGTGGTGGGGGTAAACTAAGATTGCCAAATTAAATATTGTGCATTTGATCACATCAAAATTTATCTTAACAGACAGGCAATGTGTCAATGAGTTTATAGAGAGCATCATCAAATTTGGAGAAAAAACAAAACATTAATCAGTATTTTCATGAATTGTAACCAAGGATTTTTCAACAATATTCCGTATGTGTATAGTAAAAAAAAAAAAAAAAAAAAAAGTAAAATTACAAATATAAAATTTAACAAAAATTACTCAAAAATGAATTAGTCTATTTATCAGTGTTTCTTGCAGAAGCCTGGGGTTCCAGGGAACACCGACTTAAATTGTTATCCCCACAAAATTGTGTTATTTTCTTACTAAATTCAGAAATCCCAAGCGGTAACCAAGTCATTAATCTGAGAGGTCATTTGCTCTAGAGATTTGCTAAGATCCTGAATTTGTGGAAGTTATGGGATGCTTTGATGAATGATGGATTCTGATAATTTGACCAAAGAAACTGAGTTTCTCATAAGTCAAGGCGCTTCTACTCTCAGGAGCTGCTGTTGTCAGCTGCAGGAGAAAACTAGCAGAATCTTTGCCGTTTGAAAGCACGAGGGCCTCAGCATGTGAAACTAAGAAAAGCGTAAATCAAATTCTTACCTCTTAGACAAACTAATGAAGAAAAGTGTTCTAAGGCAAAAGTAAAAAATAAAGAACTACAAACATTCCTCCAAAATGTATATTTCCACAAATCAAAGTCTCTTACTATTGTATACAGACACATAGCCATAAATATTTCTTCTTCACTCCAAGAAGTGTAGAAAGAACTAGAGAAAAACAAATTTTTATTTTTCAGTCATTAAAATAATATTGTGAAGAATACTGGCATTTAGCCTATAATTTTTAAAACAAAAGCATCCTGCAGCAAAGAATTCTCTTTTCAGTCTCCCCAGGTAAAATCAAAATACTATGAACCTGACAATAACTTCTACTTGCTTTCATGTAAACACAATGAATGTTTGTGAATGTCCACTATACAACATAACTTTATATTATTGCCAGCTTGTGAAATCTTTCACTGTATCCTCAATAATAGGCTGATCAAGTGGTCAAATGCTGAGTCCCATATCTTACATTCAGTGTCAGGACAACCAAAGTGTTATATAAGCACTTTTAATTGAATGTATATCTAAAAATGTTAATTTAATAAAAACAAATGGTAGAGAGAGAGAGGTAAATTTAAGGATTTATTGATGGATTCGTTTTCCACTGCTTATCAACATTTTGCAGGTTATTTTTAGGTTGTAAAATTTTTTTTTTGGAGATAATGGGTTAGGGATACAATGAATTTTACTAATTAACCCATAGCTAGGTGGGAGAAAGGTGAATTTGTACCTTTCTGAAGAATATTTATACCTAAGTGAATATAAACCCAATGGAAATTGGAATTCGGCTTTCCAATTAACAATTCTGAGCCATTATCAATTACACCACTCACATATCCTAGCTTACTGCACCTGGTATTCCCAAGAGGCTACCCATCTAGGTAATGATCAGGTTCAATGTTGCTTAACTTCAGTGATCATACTGGAACCAGTCTTTCAATGTGTTATGGCTGTAAGCCATAGATTTTATAAGAATAGAATCTAGAAATAAATTTTGAATCGTTATCAACAACTGATTAATCAAAAAAAATTAGATCACTGCAATCCACTGATGTTCCCACTATTTTGCACAATATGATAAAAATAAAATAACTTACACATCTTTGAAAGTGGCTAAACTTTTGTCAGGGGTAAAAGCATCCAGTAAACAGATGATCTGAAAAAATAAAAATTGCAATAGAAGTGCATTATTAATAAGAAATTGTAACAGGAAGAGGGTAAATAAAACAGGAGTTGGTGGTGAGAGGAAGTGGAAAGAAAACAAGAGTTGAGAGGAAGATAAGGCAAATGCCTGATGTGACTTTAAATACGATATCTAGATATGTATTGAATTGAAACAAAAGTTCATAGTGTTTTTCTATAACTGGTGTTTGAACAGGTGATTTCATTTCACTGTGACTCAAATTTATGAAATGCATATTCTGAAAAGTAACATTTCAATATATCTTTCTGTATGATTTCTTGCAGATTGTAAAATTATGTTTTTTCATATTAAAAATGAAATTGGCAGGAAATGATGCCTTTCATCATTTGATGCTCTTATTTCATGAAAAGAAAACACTGTACAAACAGCAAAAATGTTATGTACTGTTTATGGTACCACAGATGAGAGTATTGTTTGTAATGGATTCACTAAGTTCAGAAGTGGCAATTTTGATCTGGAAAACCAAGAACATCCTTACAAGCCTGCAGTCATTGATAATGTCCAAATTGAAACAGTGATTAAAAATCCAGGTTACATGACATTGCACAGAGCAGAGATACAACACATATCTCATATGTGCATTTAAAAACACTTTGATAAATGCATGGGTGCTTGAAAATTTAATAGAAAAGAAAAATCTAATATTTTGAAAAGACTGATTACAGGAGATGAAAAACAGATTATTTATAAGAATGTGGAGGAAAAGAGGGGGTGGTGGTGGAAATGGTCCAAGGAAAACAAAACGAGTCAGTGTTAACCACTTCAAAAGCAGATCTACTTCCAAAGTATCTGGTGGGACTGAAAAGGCATTTTGTATTATGAGCTCCTCCTGCAAAATCAAGTGTATTCAGACAAGCAACATTCCCAATTGAATGATTAAAGGCCGAGATTGATAAAACATGTCCAGAATTGAATCAGAATAACACCAGACCTGACGTCTCTTCAGATTATCACATTTTAATCCCTATAAAATTCTCTTAATAGGAAAAACTAATTCTCTAAAAGCCTGTAAAAACCATTTACAAGGCGGGGGGGGGGAAATAAGTATTTCACCCCCTGCTGATTTTCTGAGTTTGCCACCTTACAAAAATAGGAATGGTCTATAATTTTCTGAGTAGGTTTGTCTTGAAAGTGAGAAAGCGAATATAAAAAAAAAAATTCTAGAAAATTGCATTATATTCATTTTTGAACATTTATTTTTTTTTAAAAAAAAAAAAAAAAAAAAAAAAAAAAAAAAAGGATTTCACCCCATAGCAAAACAACTCAGTATTTGGTGAAGAAACCCTTCTTGGCAGGCACAGCAACCAGACGTTTCCTGTAGTTGATTACCAAGTTTTTACAGATCCTAGTGGGGATTTTGGCACACTCCTCTCCAAATCCTTAAGATTTGTAGGTTATCGTTGGGCAACTTGAAGCTTCAGCTCCCTCCACAGATTCTGTAAAGGATTATGGTCCAGAGACTGACTAGGCCACTCCATTACCTTAATGTGCTTCTTCTTGAGCCACTCCTTTGTTGCCTTAGCCATATGCTTTGGGTCATTGTCATGCTGGAACACCCATGGCTGAGGCAAGTAAGGTTTTCACACAAGATTTCCCCGTACTTGGCCCCATCCATCTTTCCCCTCAACCTGGTGTAGTCATCCTGTCTCCTTAGCAGAGAAACAGCCCCAAAGCATGTTTCCATCACCATGCTTAATGAGAGGGGAAGGTGTTCTTGGGGTCCAAGTCAGCTTTTTTTCCTCCAAACACGGTGAGTAGAGTTGATGACAAAAAGTCTTGTCTGACCACAGCACTTCCTCCTAACCCTCCTCTGAATCATCCAGGTGCTCATTTGCAAACTTCTTATGGGCATGTACATGTACCTTCCTGAGTAGGAGGACCTTGCAAGCACTACATAATTTTAATCCACTACAACAGTGTGTTACTAATGGTAATCTTGGTGACTGTTGTTCCAGCTTCCTTGAGATTATCAAGCTCTTGCTGGATAGTTCTAGGTTGTTTCATCACATGGGAGATCTTGCTTGGAGCTCCAGATCAAGGGAGATAGTCAATTGGTGGTACTCCCATTTTCTTAATATTACACCAACAGTTGACCTAGCTGCTTGCCAATCATCTTGTAGCCCATTTCTGTCTTGTGCAGGTATAAAATTTTGTCCAAGATGTCCTTAAACAATTCTTTCATCTTGCCCATTGTGGAGAAATTAGATTCTGATTCAGTGAAGGATTCTGTGAACTAATGTCTTTTATACAGGTAATGAGTACTTGATTAGGAGTAATAATTGAGTAATAGGATTAGTCTATGCCTCCTGGTCACATAACCAGTCTGTGGGGCCCGAATCATCGCTGGTTGATAGGAGGTGAAATATTTATTTTTTCAATAAAAAAAAAAAAAAAAAAAATGTTCAAAAATTAATATGCGATTTTATAGAATTTTTTTTTTTTATATTCTATCTCTCACTTAGACCTACCCTGAAAATTATAGGCCATTCCTATTTTTGTAAGGTGGCAAACTCAAAGTCAGCAGGAGATGAAATACTTATTTTCCCCACTGTATACCTGTTGACCACCCAGAAAGATGCCAAGTTCTGAGGGGATGGAATTATGATGCTGTCTCAACAATGGAGAAAAGTAGTGAAGCAAAATGGCACATACATGAACAAAGAAATAAAGTTTTTGTTTCTCCCCAAAGCAATTCTGAAATTATCAAGAGAAAAATTCCTAATTAATAGGATTTTACAAGCCTGATCAGAGAATGTGGCACAACTCATATCCCAATTATTTACAAGTTATTTAACATAAAAATTAGTTAATTACAGAGCAACTTATTTCTAAAATGAAACAAGTTTTTTGCTCTTATCTTTGAGAGTCATTTATGTCACAATCAAGGTTTTTAACTGTGTGGGAGTGAAAGGGGATGTTCTTCATTTTCTCTTTGTTGTCCTTAGGCCAAGTAGGTACTACCATTTCCACAACAGTCTTCACTCTCCTCACAAGTTCTAAACTCTCCACCATTATCACAAAATATCCCCCCATTCTTTATAACTATACAAAAACAGGAATTTAAATAAGACGGCTTACATTGTAATAGCTGCTGTGCCATAGAAACAACAATTTATTTATACCTATTAATTTAATTAGATGACCTAATATTGTGGAGAATATAATTAGGCAGCCATTTTGTAAATCATGGCAAGCAATGAGAAAAGGGCTTTCAACCATGATAAAAGTTGGTGGTCAGGAACTTAAAGTAAGCTAACCTTGGCTTGACTATCAGTGGAGAGGGCTCCACAACAGAAATCATTTTAAGCACAATACAAACAATGGCAGCTGTCACTAAACTAAAGACCATTTGGATAAACAAGAACATATGCATTATATCAAAAAAACAGACTGTTGCATACATTGACCATCTGCATATTTCTGTCTGCATGCATATAAATTTTTAACATTGATAGCAGAATTACATTGAGAATCTAAGCATTAGGAATGGGATTATACAGAACCATCTTAAGCATTTCCTATATAATATGCATTGCAAATGGCACAATGCAAGATGCCAAGAAACAGGCTCATTGGAAGACCTCATAACCACCATCAACAAGAGAAAGTTTAAATGGTATGGACATGTCATAAAAGTTAACTATCTTTCCACTGCCATCCTACAAGGTACTATAATGGGCAAAAAGCAGCAGACAAGAAAAACAAAATGATTCGACAACTGATTGGACTGGAAGACATTGACACAAAACCAAGACATATAGAGAGTACTCAGTACTGCAGCAAACCTTCAATCACAGCTGGTCATGGGACTGAGGGTGATATTTGCATGTGTGTGTATATATATATATATCCTTAAACATTTGTAGACATTTTACAATCAAATACTTAATCTTTAACAATTTTGCTATTAATTTTTTTTTTACATTTCTGGTATTTTTCCTTATAATGGGAAGCTGATTACAACTGCTATTTGCAAATAATTTTTTTTAGTGTGGAGAAACAACCACAAGTTTGATCTCCACAGTGCTTGATCTTTAAAGACCCCATATCTATATCACAACAGTATTGAGGTGATCATTAGCCTATCCAGCTGCAAAGATGCTAGTATCATAGTTTGTCATGAGATCTCTTGATAAATGAGTGACAACTTGTACCATTTCTTTAACAGCTGATATTTTTAGTGCTGTTGGGAACCCTGAAACTGTCCCCAAGGAATGAAGCCAATGAAATGGACTGTATAGCTACATGTTTTAGCAGGCATGGGAAAGGTCCCTAGTGTTAATGGTTTCAGTTTGCAACATAGAAAAAAATTTGATTAATTTCTTTATTGAAAACTGATAACATTCTTGATAGTGACTAGCAATGGTAGACCTGACTTCTCCCAATACAGAATTTTGCAGAGGTAAATCCCCACACTGGGGAGTAAGATGAGTCTACTGAATTTATTGACAGCTATCATATAAATTTATTAACAGCTATCATATAGATATCTATCAATAAATTTAGCTTTTTACTGATGTGTAGGTTTACCTCTGCAAAACTGAGTTGGGAGATAAATCATGAACTTTTTATTTATTCACTATTAATACACCATTTCTTAATATTAAGCAGTTTATTTACAAAATCTGATTTGCTGTAAAAGTGTTATCATCCAGTAATTTACTAGTTGACGAGACATAAACAATCTTTGCTATTATTACAAAGAATGTTGGTAATGGTATCTACTCCACCAAATGACAACTGAAGAAATC